CCTTCCCCATCCGTTCTTCCAGTCAGCGCTGAAGGATCGGAGATGGGAGGGGGGAATCCCTGTTGGGAGCTGTGACCGACAGTCACTACTCTCTGCAGGGAGATGATTGTGAAGTGAGCGAGCGACGGTATGTGTTCGCTCACTTCCCGATCAATAGAGTTTCAATGTCACACGTCGTCCCTAACTATGAAGATGAGTGTACATCACTCACCTCGTAGTTCTCCTTTTAAAACATGCACTAGTCTATATGAAATGATACATATACACTGAAAGTAGAAAACGTATACAGTGAGACACGTTGATTCATGCAATTATGAGAAAAACTTTTAAAAAGACTTCAGACTCCATTGAGGTTTTAGGAACTGAACCTTATAGAGGTTTCCCAGCACTCGGCTAGTTTATTTTGTAGACATTGTCCTTTTCAGAATTCAGCTCAGATTCCAGCGGCGAATGCGCCTCTGTACAGTAATAACTCCCTCTGTGTCTCTGCAATCTGAAACTTTTTACAGTGTGTAATTTAAAAATAAGAGTCAGACAAAGCAGAAAGTAAGTGAGGAGCTCAAGCGGGGGATTTCATTGCCCTGTATACTACTGCTGGGTCCCCAGAGTTCTGTATTAATGCCCCATCGGATTCTGAATTCCTGCTATTTATTTCCCTACATGGTCCAAGCTTGGCAGCTGTTTCATACATTTCTGGAGGTTTAAGAGGAAGATGGACTTTTCTCACATTTCCTCTTCCCTCTTTCAGAAACTTAGTCAGAGATATTAGGTTTAATTCATTCTTTTTTACATTTTTTTTTATTGCTATGCATTTTCTTAAAGGAGAACTAAAGCCAAACATTTTTTTCCTTTATTTTTGTTTTGGGTCACATAAGTAGATTTACTATTGTACTCCGGTGACCCAAAGTCAGCAAGTTTGCTATATGATGACAGCTCAGAGCAGCGCTGCAGCCAGGAAGGATCCCAACAATAGTGTTGGGATACACCCTGCTGCCTGATTGACAGCTGTCCCTGCCTCTCTAGAGCCAGCTGTGCCTGCCCCCTCCCCTATCTGTTCCTCCAGTGGGCAAGGGAGAAACAGAGGGGAGGGGGGAATCCCTGAAGGGGTGGTGACTGACAGTCATTACTCTATGCACTGAGAAGGCAGTGAGCTGAGCGATTAGCAGTTACACGATTGCTCAGGATTAGAATTATTTACTGTACGTATCTTATATTATATCTTATACATGTGTCTTATATTTACAAGCTAGAGCTAGACCATGTGCATTCAGTAACGGACGTGGTCTGACATACATCCAGTCTTTATCACTGCAATAGATGTCACCTGTGATAAGGGGTGTGGCGGTTACTCAGCTATGCCGGCACAGAGCACTGGAGTGGAGGGAAGAAATCAACATTTTAACTGAGAGGGTATTTGAAGGCATTTCAAAATAAATATGTGTCAAAGTTTCTAACATGTAGGGGTATAGGACTATAAAAAGGGTTAAAAGGTGTGACATTTTGGTTGGGTATTAAGCTTGATGATTTCAAAATAATTCCTAAAATACTATCTATCTATCTATCTATCTATCTATCTATCTATCTATCTATCTATCTATCTATCTATCTATCTAGATCTACTAATCTACTGGGGTGGAAATGCCCAAACGAGTGAATGACGGGCCAGCTCTATATCTTTCTACAGTCAGTTAAAGCTGAAGGTCTGGCAAACAGCTAAATATACTCATATAATACATATATGGGAGCTGCTTTAGCTGCCAGAGGTGCTGCATATTTCTGTTCATCCAGTCCTATAATTAACACATATTCACCAAACAGCAATGCCGTGTCTGACAGAGGAGGTGATCTGCCTTCCCAATGTAAACATTGAAAGTGTGATCTCTGTAACTTACTGTTGTGGCGGGATGGCAATAACTTCCAATCTCAGTAGAGTTGGCTGACTTTGACTGATCCAGATGATACCTTGAAGATCATTCAGAAGTTTAATCTAAACTGCAGGTCTTTACAACGGTGAACATTGGAAAGGTCAAAGGATCATAATGTGATCCACTTCACAAAGGACATGTGGCTGAGGTGCAGACTGGAACATAATGAAGAAGAGTGGCGCTATCTACATAGAGGAAGAAATGAACTAGGGGGAGGGGACAAGTACCAGAAACAGATTACACAAATTATTTTTGGCATATCACAAGGCATGTGTAACATGACAGGAGGAGATCTAATTTAATCTACTGCAGTTCAGTAATGATTATAGGTCTGCTCCCCACTCCCAGCCATAATGGACAGTGAAAAGAGAAGCAGCACACTGATGAGCTAATTTCTTTGCCACTCTACTTTCTCCTTCTATCTGCATGCTCCTTCCACTATAGGATAACTGACTGGTCTCTTGTGCCATGTCTCCTTCCTTCTCTCTGAGCCCTACTGTAAAGGGATTGCAAAAGATTGATTCCATGCCAAGTCTACGCACTTACACGGCTTGAATTAAGATAATACTTTAATAATGTATTAAGAGTACAGAGCTGCATTAAAGCAGAACTCCAGCCAAACAAAATCTTAACCCTTGCAGTCGGGCTACTCCCGCACTGCAAGGGTTAAGTAGTCATTTTGTCTAAGTAGCTAAAATAACAAAGTTTTACTCACCTGAACCACAATTCCGGCTTGCTCCTAGATCGCTCCCTTCAGCTTCGCTCCCCCTCCGCACCAGCGGTCTAAGGTCCTGTGAGTTATCATCTTCAATACAGTGTATAGAATGGGAGGATGCCGAGGGACTTTATATCACTGGAGCAGAGGAGCAGACGGGCTGGAGGGAGTGCTGTAAGAGCAAGCCGAGATTGCGGTTTGGGTGAGTATAGCTTTGTTATTTTAGCTCCCTAGACAAAACAAACGCTGAACAGTGCAAGCCCCACTGCAAGGGTTAAGATTTGATTTGCCTGGAGTTCTGCTTTAAATTGTGCCTTTTCTCTCTGCCTGGAATTATACATTAATATCACCTTGTTTTTTTACAATTGATTACACTGTGCTGTGCATATACCATTCAATGCTGATAAGTATTTCTTCTGTTGCTTTTTCTATGGTTTATATTTGAAAATGTATATATATATATAGATATCTATATATCTA